AAGTTCATCCAAACGCCTTTTCCTTTCATTTGGATCCAGCTAGGCTCCATGCAGGTTGCAAAAGTAATGTAAGTCCCCATGGACCCTAGTATGGTGATTTACCTTCAGTTGTTGGTGATCAGTAGCCCGTTTTTATTTTTGTACTGTCTATAGTGATTTAATTTTACGATAGCGTACTAGTTTGACATTTATATCTGTGATACTCAAGTATTTTTACTTGATTTTAATAGTGATATATATTAACTTGTTCTCGTCTCTATGGCTTAAATATTGCCGATGTGACGCTATTAATTCACTCACTCAATTTCATTCGGGCAGCATTTATATTTTTTCGCCCGACCGACCCTTCAAATTTTATTGCCGAGGATTTTACACCATGGATATAGGTATTACACTCCAGACAATATGACATGAAGAGCTGCATTTATCTACAAATTTAATGCCAGACTGGTTCGGTCCTTGATAAGAAATTGGAGACATACATTATTCAGAGGTCAACAACATCTGATGGCCCATGAGCCACCGCCTACTGGCATAGGACTCTTGGCAAACATGTTACAAATAATTTCTAATAATGTTCATTCTCAGCATTTGAATAATGCGTAATAATGAATAATAAATATTTCCATGCAGAGTGCATGACATGACCAGCCAATTGATAGAACCGGGCCTGTCTAGGTGAAGTCAAGGTCGAAGTAGTGTGTTGGGCAATAGGCCTAGGAGCACGGTTCCTGGCTCCTGTAGCGGGGGCTAATTACAATGGGGGCCATAGATCTATATCAGAAAAGGGTGAGCTAGCGTTAGTTTTGGGAGTAAGTTATAAATTATAGTAATACCAAATGGATTTTTCTCACCATTGTTTGCGGAAGCATGCGGGTCACGGCTATCACTGGATTGTTTTGCATTGCTCGCCGTTTCGGCACGGTGATTGGTTGCACGTTCTGGAAGGTTCCCATTGAAGGGCGGGGATGTGCTCCTCGCTTAATGGGATAGGCCCGCCATCGGGTATATAAGGAGCACGCGACGCGTGTTTTATTGTCGTCGGCGAAATTGGCTCCCGCCAGAAGCCGACGTAAAATCATCAAATTCGTCGTGTTTTATTGTCTGAGTTGGCGACACACGAGGATCGGTGATCCTTGCTTTGAGATAAAGTAGTATTTGATCCGTGACGGACCAGTCCTTGTTTCGAGACGAAACAGCTGACCCCCTCTCACAGCGAAGCACTTAGGTTAGGAAGGATAGGACAGACGTAGGTATAAGTGGTTGGGTGGAATAAAGTATCTAGTTTGAGGGATTTATATATGTACAGGGTAAATGCTAGAAGACGGGATGGACGGCTGGATTTAAAATCATAAACTACCGCTGAGTTAAGCCAGTGTCAGTATATATATCAGATGTACACTAGTTTAGGGGTAGGTGGGGATTGTTGCTACTAATTTATTCTTTTGTTTAAATCTTGCCAGATATATATTTTGTATTGTTATTCCGTTGGGAGTTTGGTTTCTGCTATTTGTAAATATAATGGTGAAATGAAGTTTCTTGAATGTCCTGAATCGCAAGGCTGCATCGCGTAACTGGGACACTGCGTGGAGGAAAATTCTGCTTAAGGAATGACAGGTTTATACTTGTAACGTACCCTCGAGTGGCAAACATGCAAGTTGGAATGGAAAACACACAACGCAAAGTAGAATCACACACTTAGCATGTAGTTTCTACAAGAAGGAGAGAGAACCACGCCTGTTACATTTTGGTGCCGTGACCAGGATGCAGTTTATACAGTTCTGTATTATTCATATACTTGTTGTGAAGATTAGCAGTAATATTTTGGTGTCATATAGCTGTTGTATTGTTGGATATCTTGCTTGAAGTTAGTCTTTGGAGTTGCTCAATTTACTGGTAATCTTTCTTCAAGTCTCCAGTCCACTGAGTCTCCTACAGATGATGTGAATTATGGTATGTCAACTCCGTACGTCCCATCATGTGTGTACCAAGCCGCCTCCTGTCACCGACAGTCAATTTTCTGGGCCTACCTGCGCCTCCCTGGTTCTCAATGCCATATCCATTTGCAATATATTTCAAAACACGATAAACAGTGGACAAAGGGATGCCTGTTCTACTTGAAATCACTTTATCTGATGTCCTTGTTATAATACTCTAAAATCAACTTCCTCTTCTCTAAATCATCCATACTGGGCATCACTGAAAATGTCGTCTGCTAGCAAGTAAACAAACGGGGATAACTCTTCACAAGCTAATGAAAAAGGATTAACGGAGTTGTCTCTCTTGAATGAAACCAAGCACTTGATAGCTTGTTAAGGTTGTTTATACTAGAAATCCAATTAAACATATTCCTAAAATTCTCAATAATTCCTGGTCATACTATAGAACTGACAGTGTTTCGCTTGCTGGTGTGGGTCGACATGACATTAGGCAGAGGCAGGCCAGGGTCAGAGTCAGGATCGTTCTGTTAGGTTTATTAAACCTTCTTTACCACGTACTACACGTTTGGCGTTTCCGGTTCTCCTGTAGAAACAAAATTTCCTATCCAGTGAGAGGAGGCAGGGATTTTTCTGGTTTAGACACTCCTCCAAGGTCGTCAATACTTCGGGATGTAGGTCGAAGTCATAGATCCGTTACGTAGTGACGTAGAGAGGTTCAGCATGATATATTGATGGTAGGTCGACAAACTGGCGAGACTACATAGTTCATTTTGAACAGGTTGCATCATGGAATGGTTGGGATGATTTAGAGAAGGTTCAGCAGCTTAGTATGAACTTACGTGGTACAGCTCAGACTTTGCTTAGTTACCTCACTTATGGTCAGCTTAGCAGTTATACTGCATTATACTCAGAGGTTTAGTCCAAGGGAATGGAGCATAGCTCATCGTTGTGAGTTCAGGAATAGACGTCAGAAGAAGGACAAGGGCCATGCTCCCTACGAAACAATGGACTCGTCCGCTTTTTTTGCGTGAGATCCAACTGATAGTCAAACATAATTCAATGAGTCTACTCTGCATACCGATTGTTTTGAATGAGTATCTTCTTAGAAAAGCGGGATAGAAATATAATTCCATTTCCGATTCAAATTAAACTATTATGCAGATTTAAGGAAATACTCTATCTATATAAATATTTACTCATGTTGTAGATTGTTTGAGAATTACTGCATATATAATGATGAAAAAATCAGTTCAAAGGTAAGTAATTGAAACAAACCTCTTCAGGTAATTTAAGTAACAACTTAAGAATATATAATTCATTTGGTATCTTGCTGTTTATTTTTATATTTATTTCAATTTTGTGTCATTCATTAATGTCTGCTTCATAGAATTGATTATAAGCTATGATGTACTATATGCGGAGAAGCATTGATATAGGCCTTTTGGTCTGTTTGTTTATCATCTTCCCCTTTTGTTATGTTTTGTTATGTTCCCTGATGTAAAATCAAAAGTACTGAAGAAATGTTTTATATATTTATGCTTGTTATAAATAAAAACTGTTTACTAAAAGATCTTTTTGTGGTCGTATCATATGGGTCATTCCATTACCTACAGAGGTACTAAGTCTAAGGGTTCATATGTAAGAGCAATCAAACATGACAAGTGTTTATCTAAGGTGTATAATTCGGAAATTAAACGCGACTTACCTGTAAGTTGAAGTTTGATTGGAGTTCTGCCCAGTCATCACAGCACTGAGTGATTTGTGAGATAGCATTGCGCATGTGCGGAGTGACGTCACTTAAGTCTTTAAAGTACAAGTCAGTCAGGTGCCAACAGACCAAGGGTGGGCTAGGGTGGGCACGAATCACTCAGTGCTGTGATGACTGGGCAGAACTCCAATCAAACTCTGTTTAATTCTTAATTATCACGTTTCCATTCCAAACTAAAACAAACATGTTCAAACTCATCTTTTTAATGAATCTATTAAACATTTCATGTCAGTAAGTTCTCTCTTGAACAATTTTTCTGGTAACTAATTACTAGTATACAATTTCTCTGGACACTTCTGCACTTTCTGCCCTGCCTCAGGCAGGATTTCAGTTTCTACCTAGTATAGCAAGTGCAAGTCGCAACTGCCAAACCCCAAACCAAAGGCCACTTCTCCTCTAGAGGTCCCCGTCGAGGTCCACAACTCCTTTGGACCTCTGAATATGGAGGTCACTCCGTCTCCACCTGACACCAATAGGAATACATAGGAGTACCACATGTCACCAGTGGAAGCACCATGAATCCACAAGGCATGATTCAATGGAATTGCAGAGGACTTAAGAATAATTTTAATGAACTACAGTTATTGATTAAAGACTTCAAACCATCCGCGTTTTGTCTTCAAGAAACCTACCTAAAAAGGACTGATAAATTTGACATCCGTCGATACAGTTCCTACCACTCCTTTTCTCCTCCCGGTGTTAAAGCTACAGGAGGCACTTCTGTCCTGGTGAGGCAGGACAACCTCCATAGCCCTGTTCCACTTAACACCAACCTACAATCTGTTACTGTCCGGTGATGACGCTGAACATAGGATTTACACTATGTTCACTCTATTATCCTCCTTCCTCAACTATCCGCCTAGCACATCTTCAGAACTTGTAAGATCAACTCCCAAAGCCCTGCATAATCATCGGCGACTTGAACGGGCATAACCCCCTATGGGGGATACAAACAACAAGAGGAAAGTTCTTGAAGATTTTCTCTCAAATAAGGATCTATGCATCTTCGACGATGGATCAAACACTTATCTCCATCCTGCCACTGGAACATACTCTGCTCTTGATCTATCACTTACAGATTCTAATCTTTTAAACGAGTTTGAATGGTCGATCCACGGTGACCTTTGTGGAAGTGACCACTTCCCAACAATTCTTACTCCTTTCAATCCCGCAGATGACCCACCTTCAACAAGATGGAATTTTACTAAGGCCAATTGGCCATTAATACAAACCCTATGTTCTGAAAACCTTAAACCTGACAATTTCAGGAATGTTCCTGATCCCATGGTAAGAACATGCACCCAATAGAAAAGCAGCTACAATTCTGTCTTAACAAAATCCAAAAATGGGCCAATGAAAATGGCTTTAAGTTTTCAAAATCCAAAACAAATTGTATTTACTTTTGTCGTAAATACACACCACACAAGGATCCAGACCTATCTTTAGATGGTACTCCCATCAAGGAAGTAAAAGAGGCCAAATTCCTGGGACTCATTCGACCGTCACCTGACATTCTTACCACACATAAAATATTTGGAAAAGTGCTTGAAGGCTCTGGACTTACTAAAAGTCGTTTCAAATACAGAGTGGGAAGGGGATCAGACTACCCTCCTTCACTTGTACAGATCTTTGGTTCGCTCTAAACTATACTACGGCTCCATTGTTTATGGCGGAGCCTGCAAAAGCAATTTAGAAAATTGGGAGCCTGGGAGCTTTTAGGACCTCTCCGGTAGACAGTCTATATGCAGAGGCTAACGAACCTTCCCTTGAACAACTCCGCATTAAACCTTCACTGCAATATATCACTAAATTACGTTCAAATCAGTCCAATCCAGCATACACTTGTGTTTTCAACCCTCCCTATGAAAACCTGTTTCCTCAACTGCCAAGCCTGGTTCCGCCACTTGGAATCAGAATTCAACCACACATATCTGCAGCTAAATTTGATCTCAATATCATAGCACGTTACCGACTCCTGTCTTCACCACCCTGGCAGATGGTGAAACCACAGGTCGATCTTACCCTCACTAAACTCAAAAAGTCCCAAACAAATCCTTTGGTGTTCCAGCAGGAATACAACCAGTTACGTTCCAAGTATGACACCCATAGATCCATTTTCACAGACGGATCCAAGGATGAGGGCCAAGTTGCCAAGTCATTGGATCCAAGACTGTCTCCTCTAGGATCCCGACAACAGTTCCATTTTCACTGCCGAGGCCAAAGCTATCTTTTCAGCTTTGACCTATATTAAACAGCAGAATCATTCCAAAACAGTCATCGTTTTCACAGATTCATTATCTTGCCAACAAGATCCATCGTTCAAAATGTTATTTCAAGTCACCCAATCATTCTGGACATTTTAAAACTTTACAACGACCTTTCTACTGGCCAGTGTGACATCGTCCTCTGCTGGTTGCCGGGTCACGTCGGCATAGCAGGTTACACAAAAGCCGATGCTGCAGCTAAAGCAGCTCTTGACAAGCCCTTATCTCCACTGCTGATCCCGTACAGTGATTTCAAACCCACTATCAAAAGCTATACTCGGGACCTCATGCAAAAAAGTTGGGACACTCAAGTAGGAAGAAATAAACTGTATGAATTGAAGCCAACAATTGGCTATACCTACTTGGGTTGTCAGTCAAGACGTGATGAGGTAATTTTACGACGATGTCGTATTGGCCACAATCGGTTTACACATGACTATCTGCTGAGGACGAATGGGGATGAACCCCCCATGTGCGTCTCTTGCGATGAGGTTTTCACCAGCAAGCATATTCTGATTGACTGTGTGGGCTTGTCGTCTGCAAGGGACTCACATTATGATGCAACAAATCTGAAAGATCTGTTCTCCCGCTTGAGCGCTCATCTGATAGTGAACTACCTGAGGGAAGTTGATCTGTATCATAAATTGTAACTGTGTAATGTGACTAACGAATTGCCTGCTTTTAAATTTGGTGCTATGACTTTTTCTGTTTTTAAATGACAATGTAATGAATATATGATTTTAAAATAAAACTCATTCCGACTCTGTACTTACAATGTTTATTAATGCAAACTTGTTCTCGTCACTATACGGCTGGAATAATGCCGATAGTCAACTCAACTCTGCTGAGAATTGGGTTCCACATAAACCGAATAATGTCTCACAACACAATGATCAGATGACCTACCAAGTGGTACATCTTTGTAGTTTCGGTCATCCCTTTAATAAGAGACAACTGTGTTCTCTGCATTCTGGCATCAACAGATTGGTATGCAGCACTTAGTTTTTTCCAAACAATGTCCTCCACTTTTGTTTGCACCAATGCACAGCAATTATCTGGTCTTGGTACGTTCTCTAATCTCTCTTTCATTTTTAGTTCATCCGGTTTGTTCAATTTAAATATCAGATCACTCACAATTTTAGCCAGTTTGCCATCCACCGATGGGCTTGTTTTCTCAGTGTTAGTGTCCAGTTCTTGGGCTACTTTTTCGAGTATCGAAAGATTTCTGTCACTGACAGCAGATTTGGGAGCCTCGCTGACAGTTTCGTCTTGATCAGACAGCTTTTGTCTTTGGATCCCTCGGACCCTCATCACAACTTTGAACAACTGACGATTCATTATCGGCCTCATCCTCATAATAGTCATCATCATAGTTGTCATGATAATAGCCTTCACTGAGACCACCGGTTTCCTGTGGTCGAGATTTAATTGAATCGGCAATCGTCTCGAAGCCTTCCCTAATCGCCGATCTAATTTCTAGTATCGCAGATTGCAAAATGGCGTTTGTGCCGGCGGTTATTTCACTGGCCATCACCGAGAACGTTGATGGGAATGGCGACATCCCTGTAGATTGTTGCCTGGCAACTTCAGGCGGACAATCTGATTTTGAAGTTTTGGACTTTCCTTTTTGACTCTCGCAGAGTTCTTCGAACTCCTATCACTTCGTGATTTTGAACTGCGTACATCAACTTGATCGCTGACTGACATCGACAACGACACTTCTGCTTGTGCCATATTTCACAAACGACACTGTTAATTGTATGTAAACCAACTACGTTCGTAAACCCACCACGTGGGCTATCTAACACCATACACAAATGTCTACGACATTCAACATCAACACCGGCTTTCACCTTAACAAGGCCGAAAGCCCACTCGCCACGTATTTCAACTAGAGCGATGACGAAACACTTCCGTCGCCTCCGCGTCATACGAACGCACTGAAGTGACGTCACTCCGCACATGTGCAATGCTATCTTACGGAGCACTCAGTGCGATGACTGGGCAGAACTAATGGGTCGTATGATTAACAGGGTGCAACCGTCGTATAATGGTTAAAAAATTACCAAATACAGTGTATGAGGTTAATGCAGAAAAATAACATCTCGTGCTTGAGAATATTTCGCTCATATGACGACGTGCATGCGTGTGTATGTGCAGAAATGAAGAAAAGGAACTAAACGATGTTCGACTTTGCACTATACGATATTGCTAAGTACGAACATAACGACTTTCCTGATGGTATTTTTGATAAAGAGAGTGAAGAGAAGTGGTCAAAAGTAAAAGTGTTGCTATGAAATATGCTTCTTGTGTATCTGCTATATAGTTATATCAACGGATCAGTACCCGCCCATGTGATTCAGTCAGACGTTATGAGCAGACAGAAGGCTAGGAATACTGCTGAGGATGCAAACACAGATTGTAATGAGACTCTCATTCATACAGATAAGGACTTTTCTGCTTCTGTTCATGACAAAACTACTATACTTACATGAGGACATGAACAGAGCGTTTCAGTGAAATGTCTAACAAGATAACTGAGTTCCAGTTTAAATATAGAAAATGACGTGTATGTAAAATGATATATGTTCTCGAAGATAAAAATGCTGAAATTGCCAGTCTTAAGATTAGAACCCATGAATTAAGGGGCAAGTGAAGAAAAACTACAAAAAGAGGTGTCAGCATTAAAAGATGAACTGGAGAGAAAATGCATTGAGTGTAGTGATATTCAAGAAACTATGGATTCACAGATTAAAGTGATCAACAAACGTACAAGTGCGATTGATGGTAAAATAGATTGCATGAATGTTCGCTCGAAACTGTCTTACTCAGAAACAGTCAAACATGTCCCTCCTGCAGGGTAGTATTGAACAACAAAGAAAAGCTCTGTGATTAAAGAATACAATCAGGCTGAACACGAATCAAGTGACGCCATCATTGTTTCACCAAACCACAGTCCGAACACAAGCCTACCTGAAGCGGCAGGCGTGACCACAAAGCAGAGAGCTCAAAACCACGTGAAAACAAAGCACAATAACCTGTCGTGTGTTATCTCAAGCGATGACCAATCGAGGGACTGTATTGTTTAAAGAACAATGGTCAAAAGCCTTCTCCGGAGGTGTCCCGGATTTAAGCAAAGAGGCTTGTGCTATCTTATGTGAAGGCAAGCGAGACCCTTTGACGTCATTAGAAGACGCAATCAAAGCTACACAGACGGAGAGGTGTAAAAATACATCACATGAAGCTATTGAAACACTGGGAGGGACGAAACCGACGTATACGATACGTATCAACGTTTCACCACAGGCAGCAAAAATAGCTTTGTCAGACAACACATTCTGGCCATCAAATGTCAGCTGCAGAGAATGGATACCTAATAACTCATGGTACTCAAACGACACATATGGAGCCAATAAAGGAATACTATTAATCATGAATGTACTGGTGAACATTATAATGAGGATTTTATCATTCCATTCGCGGTATGGAACATACGGGGTATCATGTATGGTACTCAGGAACTCAGTATGGCAGATTGGGCGGCACGGATATATTCTTCATCAATGAACACTGGCTCAGTGACCAAGACGAGTCTCATTCCTGGACACCGTACACAGCGACTTCGATGTCTACCCAGATGCAGCTATGATCCTCAGCGCATCACAGGGATCGGAGGAGGTATGTGCTTTCGTACGGAAAGGCAAGTGGTGTAATGTAACTGTGCTGGATACTCCAGAAAGTGACCATGTCTTAGCAATCAATCTTCAACTTAAGACTGTGAGGTATGTATGTGATCGGGACAAGACTGCCGTCTACGGAATGTCCTGGACAGTGTCTACCGAGAACAGTTACAGTTACACGATGGACCTATTTGATATATATTCACAGCAGGGGACGGCTATACTTGCTGGTGATTTCAATGCAGACATTCGTCATTGTGTTAACAATAAAACCAGATCTCGTCTGTTACAGAGGCGCTGGATGAACGATCTTTATTCTCAGGTTGTACCCTTGGACGATGAGGATAAGTGTATACATTCTCAACAAAATCTAATGAGGTTAAAACAATGCTGGATTATGTATTTGAACATATTGACAATTTACATAACGTAGTTGGTCAGACTATTGACCGTACT